AAAACCGTAAACAGATCGGTTTGAATTGGATGCGCGTCGCTCGCGTGTGTGTTAGTATTGATTGTGAAACGAATACTTAAATAGCAAAGGGTAACATCATTGAACACTAATACGTACACACACATAAAAGAGAAGTTAGTTGCTTGAAGGGGTTTGCTGCACACAGAAGAAGAAGAAGGCATTTCTGGTTATGTTGATGGCGAAGTTAACTGGCTGCTGGGCTATCGCGGCAACCTAGTCTCAATGGCAACAACAACATCAATTACAGAGACTTTGTTGAAGTATTTGCGTTCCTACACGTCTTACTTGTTTGCCTGTTTACCGAAGGGCTACTACTCACTCTGGCACGCAGAGCAACAACTCGTCAAATGTATGCACATATGGGTGGGCTTATGTGCGTTTGTGTCGAGTCGTTGACAACGTATGCTGCATGTTAAGTGACACGCTGTGATGTGATGCAAGATGATGCAAGTGCAGTCAGTGGAGTAGAGCAGATCCATTGGTAAAATAGCTTTGAAATAGGCCAACGGCAACACCAAGGCAGGGTTACGCAAGGCCAAATGAGTAGGTTTTGTGGCCACATGCGCAGATATTAGATAGAGTCGAAATTTATTTGAATGCAAACATTTTTTTCGCTAGAATATGGGTTTTTGTAAAAGTTCTTGAAAGTGAGCATCATTCGAGTGTATTTCTGGGCCTTGTATAAAAATCCATCAGTCTATCAAAGACTGCTAGAAACAGTGTTGTGGCTGGAAAAAATAAATAATAAAATACTTAAGAGTGAAATATAATATATCAGAGCTATCATGCAAGTGGCTCTTACGTTGATGCGATTAAGGAGGTAAAACGAACGAACTGCCCTATCAGTGTCAAACACCTGCGAGTATGTACGAAAAAAAGTTCGGTAAGTTGATCAGAAAAAAATCCTTTTTGTATTTATTTGTAAACTTTATGATGTTTTTTTATCTTCTCTGCATAAATTTGCTTTTTAAGATTATAAAGTTCAGCATTAACCGCATTAATTATCTCCTCGTTGCTATTAAAGACATTTGGCTTAGCATTTTTTTATTATTTATTTCCAAATATAACCAGAAATCACAAGGTGCTATGTCTGCTGAGGATGGTTGAGGACATATTCCTTCGACACAGGGATCGCAATAAAATTACTCGTTATTTCAGCTGCGTGGGATGGCGTGTTGTCATGATGTAAATGTATAGCTACGGTGACGTCATCAGTGGACGATTTTGGTCGACCTTCTTCGAAACCACTTAGAAGCAGTTTTTAAAGACTGTGCAATCGTTCCATATGCAATTTGTCATTCACTAAATATTTGTATTGGCTTTACATTACGCCGAAACCAAAAGAGAATCACAGGACGAATTTCTGTATGCGTTAGTGGTCAAATTTCGTCTGATCTATCCTCAGCTATTGAATAAAAATTAATGCTCTTTTAATTAAATTAATTTATCCCGGCGTAAGATATTTAATTTAATATGAATGGGCACATGGTAACTAACATTCAATAAAGAGAACCTGCGTTTCTAAGTTCTTCTCTGTGGCTGTAAACATTTTTACCGCAATGTTTTGAAATTCAACTCTATATTACATTTAAAAATGCATTTGTGGAGTTGAGCAAATGGTTAGTATGCACAAGTACGCTAAATGGCAGGAAGTCCAAATCTAATCACAAATAACGCTGCTAGATACTTTTTTGGTTAGTTAGTGATTCAAAATCTCAGTCCCAAATTGACATCTTTGCACCAGTTTGGTTGAACAAACAGACGTATTGACGGACATGGCTAAATCAACTCAACTCGTCTAGGTATAAAAATGACGAAAAGAGGACTTTCTTCCCTACCACAATACAAACCTTCCTTAAACATCGTTATGAAGGTATGATACGAGAATATAATCGAAATTCCCAATAAAGATTTAACTTAAAAAAAATTTCAAAAGCCAACAAAAAGAAAGAATACTGGCATGTCACTCCACTTCTGTACTTTCTATTTTCTGCATTTGACGGGCCCTATGACTGGAGATTGCTGATGCTGAAACTTTTCTAATTAATTTGTCATCCTTAATAGTGTCTTCGAAAGACATGTCGTAGAATCTATTTTTTCTCCTCTATTGCAACATTGCTGAGCGGTATGATTGGAGGTTCACTTGCAACTTTTTACAGCACCAAACACGCTAATAAGTTTCAGCGAAATATGTACTCGGAAAATATATTGAAATAATGAGTCAGTGTTAATGAGTTTTGCTCAGCACAAGCACATAGATATCTGCATATATGTATAATGTGGTTAGTTGTTGTTTGCGATCCATCCATTTTGATTTTATTTATTTGATTCCATTTTCCTTTTTTGCTAGAGCTGAATTACGTGAATTGAGTATTCATTGGAACTGAAATTAAAAATTAAAGCTTATCGAGTTTCTATTTATTACGCCCGAGTTTTCAGTTTAAATACACTTTTTATTTTGTTTTACTTTTTTTTTTATTTTCTTTTTTTTTTTTTTTTTGCTAACATACATCACATTGTTCATTAAGAAGTAGGCTGACAATGCCAACACATCCACATACATAAGAGAAAGCCTTTCTGAAATTTTAGCGTGAGGCAGAGTAGCAATCGCATTATGCCTAAATACTTTTGCGCCGGTCGAGTGGAGAGAGGCGCCTAGAGGAAATAACGTTGTTAAACGCAATTACATGAGCACTCATGCTTGCGAGTGTCTATATACAGATCTCTACGTGAATTTTTGAGTCCCTGCATCGTTTTCATATAGAGAGCACAGCTGATATCATCTGTGGATGTATGATGACGTAACAAAGTTGCTAATACAATTAAGGTACATTTAAGCGCTGCGGCTGTGGCTTCACATATGTACAGTCCTGCCAGGATTTTTATCCAAAAGCAACCGAATACATGGACGTAAGAGATATCAGAGCCAAAGCGAAATGCGAAATGGTTTTGATAGCTTCTGCAGTGGCATGAAGAAGAGCAGTGTGTGTGTTTGTATGTGGTAAAAACATTTTCCAGGTGATAATCTGATTATTGCCTTGAATCATTTTCATTTTCACATTTCAACGCAGTCAGCTCTGGGGCGATGAAAGTCTCGTTACAACATTTCTTTACATATTCATATATACATACAAGTATGTGGGTGAGAGTATGTAGGTTAATACTCAGACAGCATACTTCAGCTAGTGGCCAGGCATATCTCATTTAAGTAAGTGCACGTGTGAACGTTTGTGAGTTTTGGTGTGGGAACGACTGTTTGGTTGTCTAGTTATGTCTACTTACAACAAGGCTGTGTTCTCGCATTGCGTGCACCGCGCAAGAAAATCGGACAAACTGTATAACGGCTCAACGATGAGCTTCACGATACCGGCGGCCAAAGCATTGTCCAGTGCACCCTTCTACTGCAAGTCGCCAACCATCGTCGATGACTGCTGCCAAGCGCTCACAGCGCCTTCAGCTCATTACGAGCGATATGTTGCCGCGCCGACCGGAAAATCTGAAATTCAACTTTTTTCGCAGTTTTTGCACTTTTCGATTACCTCATTTTCATTAGACGACGCCTAGTGAGTCATCAATTTCGGTCTAGTTTTTATGAAACATTAAGGCACTTTGAAGTTAAGTCTGCATAATACAACGAGCCCAATTTAATTTATTTTAAAGCCTAAAAACTTTCTGCATTATATATACTCTTGAATTAAGTTTTTCTTTTTAAAAACTATTAATCTGTACCACTGTGTGTTATGGAGAATGTGTTGCAGAGTGCACAACTTTCAATTAAATTACGCATTCGCCCTGGTGGCTGTCTGCCCGACTAACTGGCGAGTTTCATCATGCCATCATAAATCGATTGTGCCGGTCATATAACTTTGTTATCGTGGAATTAATTTGCCGATTTTTAATTTTCCACATGTTCTGTACTACACTCGGACACATCAGCAGCTGAATAGATGGGATGTGAATTTCGTGAATAAAAAATTAGGGTGGACACGATGCATTCTCTTCAGAACACTAGCGGAATATGAATGGTGGTACAGTTGTACTATCATTATCTACCCAGGGTAACCGTCACCTATTCCCAATAAATCAATAGCGGTTATTTGTAGAAATCGATGAGAACTTAGTTTTTGATTCAGTCTCACATATGGTGTACGAATATATGTTTGTATTGTATATTGTATAATCATGTACGTAAATAGTTTGCCAATTTCGTTGATGAGTACAGCAAGTAATGGAACTGCTTCACATCGGCGTTACAATGGCATGACATTAATTTAAGTTCGTTTTAATGAACAAAAAAAAAATAGCATTAAGCATAGGGAGTCGGCAAGCAGAAATTTTAATTGGTAGTACGAATTCCTACATTCTGATTAACGTTTTAGGAATTTGGACAACAGCTTCTTAAGACTAAATTATAATGTTAGTGCAATTCCATTGTTTACACGATGGTAAGGGAAGTAAAGAGTAGCTGTTTGTATTGAACGATAGTGAAATCGCTACTGCATGGGAGAGCAGGGAAATAAAAGATCTAATGACGGCGACGTCTAAAGAAAACATATGTGTATGTAAAGATACATGGAGAGGGATGATACAGAATAACGTGAAGTGTTTACCTCTGCAAAGTAATATTGGGATTACTTTCTCGGTGCCAGAAAGAGAATCGGACATGCGAGTAGTGTGATCTGCTTGCTTGTATCTATGAGTATTATTACCTACAGGCTCATTGTCAAATAGAAAAACCAATATACATTTATATTTAGATATTCTTTTTGGTGAAGTATTTAAATTGTATTTTATGCTCACTCCCACTGCTACTACTCTTTTTGCCTTTACATTTTCCACTTAAAGTTTCTTATTTAATCTTCGTCGAGTTAATAATTATATTTTCCTTCCTACTTATTCTTCATTACCTCCTCTTTAACTTTTTTACACTCGCACATGTTTTACTTCACATTTATTTTGTTATCGTTTCTTGTACTTACCATTCTGCATAGCCACACTCTTATCCTCCACTCGGCTAACATAACAACAGAGTTCATCCTGCCGTTCGGCATTCTCGATCAGTTCCGCTTCGACGGAGAAGCCCCACATTTGGTCGAGTGTTGTACGATGCAACTCCACTTGATAGAGTATCTTCATGCAAACTTCAACGAATTCGTGATTATGCAACTGTGAAGTTGGATACAGAAAAAAACAAATTAAAATTGTCAAATTAAAGATTGACTAGTATTTTTCAAAGGATATCAAATTTTAACTTTTCAATTTTAATTCAAAATGGAATCTCCAATTTTCTTGTATAAAATGGACAAAATTAAATGAATATATTTATAGAGACAAGTTTAATGCAGTGAGTGAATAATGAATAAGATAGCTCTGTCATGACATTATTACCCATTAACTTTTAAATTTCTATACCGTACATGATTTCAAAGATAGAAACGAATATCCAGATTACATTTTCAAGGTAAAAATAGAAACACCAGTGCAAAAAAAAAAAAAAAAAATTGTACGTTTACAATGTTTGGGCCAGCCTATGGCTTAAAAAATTAAGCAAATGCGTTTGCATAGGTAGAATTAATTTTATTTTTACCAAAATAATCACAAATAAATAAAAATTATTGATAATTTTATATGAGAGCGCTCGTTGAGGACTCGGAAAATGCAAACGGAGAGATATATAAACAAGCCATATATTGTATCATGTCCACATATCAGGTTTGTCTGTTTTTTGCACTACTACCATACTAATCCATACACGCGTAAAATATATACTCCATATACATATACGTGTGAGTTGATATGGAAATTATTATGACAAATAAACATATGTATAGCGAACAACGCACACAAACTATAGGTTTCAAACACCTGACACACTTATTTTAGAAACTTACACGGGATAACATCTGTAAAGTACAACTTTTTAAACATTTATAGTTTTTTGTTGGAACTTGCACTTATGATATACATATATTTACTTCAAATTGATCTTTTAGGACATAAAAAAGTCTTCTCATTCATGCTACCTTACTCTTCTTAGAAAAGTTAGTTCAAAATTCAGGCAAAATAAATATACATATATACACTCGGCCGCGGTAGACGAGTGGCTACTATTGCGTATTGCCATTCGGAAATCTCGGGTTCAAGTCCTGTTGTCGCCCTGACGTCCAAAAGTATAGAAAATTAATTTAGATAAAAAATTAAGCTAAATTTTCTAATTGCGATCACCCCTCATCAGGGTATGTCAACCCCTCAGCAGGGAATGTCAACCCCTCCGAGTGTATTTATGACATGAAATAAAGCTCCTCACAAGAAAACGTCAGCCGTTCGGAGGCGGCATAGTAGAAACTGGAGGTCCTTCCGTTTGTTGGAACAACAACAACTTGCAAAACCACAAATTGGAGGAGGAGCTTAACCAAAAATTACCGCAGCGGTTACAAAGCCACAATCGTGATAGTCAAATAAACTTTAATGATAAATTCAATTTGGGTTTTATTTATTTATTTATTTAGTCTAAGATCATTAAGCCACCAAGCAATTATTATAAGTACCAAAATAAGATTCTAGAGATGCACTTACGGATTTTGCTTTTGATTTATGCTATAAAAATGTGAATCGCGCTCTTAGTGAGCGCTCCTTCGAGAATGTACAATATAATGGTATACTTGGTGTTTCGAATTCCTACATTTTAACAGTTAGTATTGTAAAGATTAGCCATTTTATAGAAATTTACTCAACAACAAAATTACTTAAGTTTCAGATTTCAAAGGTTTTGTATGAAAATTTGAAGAATAAAATAAATCCTTCAAGAGGGCTACTTATATTTCACTAAGAAGTTGTTTAGTATCTACGAGAACTAAGTTTGATAATTGTTTATATTAAGTTTAGTGCTTCTGAAATATTTTTTGCGTTGGCTTCATATTTCAAGACACAATTTTTAAGCTGTGTAAGCAGTTATGTTACATTTCTGAGCTGGATAACATATTATATGTATGTATATAAATCATTACTTAGACAATCTACTCTGTGCCTCAAAAGGTACTTTTACTTAGGTCTGTTCAATGCATTTATTACAAGACACATGTGAGAAATATTCAAACATACATATATTATAGTATCTGTCCTGAATGTTTGTGATTAAGTAAGTCTAGAACAGACATGCATACAGCGAGAGCAAGTCATATCCAAATAGGAGCTAAGTATCTTTAATATGTATTCTTTTCATATAAAATAAAGTGTTAATAAGTGGACAGCATAAGTATCTGAGAAACGACGGTGAATATGCTTTCCTTAAACAATAGTTTATTATATACAGCAGTGGGATGTGCTTGAGTATATAAAAGCAAATAAATGATAGAGAAGCCTTTTTTAATACCAGGAATCTTGAAAAGCACACCATTTATATAAGTAAAATATTTTGTATAAAATCCTCCTGGCTTTGCCACTCTACCCACAGTGGAAGCCTATCGTTTCACTCTGTTTACTTCCCTTACTCGGTGGCTATTTACTTGCGAGTAGGTTAAAAGTATTAACTCCGCATGCCAAACTATGAATAGAATTCAGCTGTAGACATGCATACTTGTATGTGGATGTATATATATACTGATGCCAGCATTTAGTGGAAAGCCTACTTCACATCATTTTCTAAAGTCGATTGCTCTCGTGGCTTTTACTCTCTATCACCCTGCCGCTCTTTCTTGCACTCAAATCATTTCTAACTCCTTTCACGTTCCACAACTTCGTTTCTCTTTCCTCTCTCGGTCTTATCCTCGCGTTTAGTAGCGCTTTTCAGTTTTATTATTTTCTTTTTACAGTTAAGAGCTTATCAAGAGGTTAAGTGCGGTAAAATTAAGTGTGGCGCCTCCAACCACCGCTAGCAACGTTTATTCATCGAGGGCTCGAAGTTTAATCACTTTAAAGTGAAGTGCTATGATAAGGACACACGCAGGTTGTTGGCGAATTAAAGAGCTTGAGTTTTTCTAGGCATTTTTTGTAGTTAGTGAAAGTTCTCATTTAGCTGGCAGCCAATTGTTCAGGTAGTCAGAAGCAGGTGTTTGATGGTATGTGGTTGTTTGGGTTAGCTAAAGAAGTCATTGCCTTCTGAGAATGAGTGTCAAGCGAAACGGGTTCTCACTGCACAAGGAGGTAGATGTGGTATTCCCTCTCTTAAGTATCATTTAACTTTAACATTTAATATATAGATTAAACAAACTCAACGAGCTAATTTATTTTTGGAAGTGAATCAGATGATATGAAAATATTTTAATATATTCGCGTGGTACAGTCGTTCAGCATTTGCCTAAACTAACATAGGGACTACTTTTTCTTCTGGGAAATGGATCTGAGGCCAAAATTTGATTTATGATTCAATTTAATATACAAATGTTTAGATCACTTCTTTTGGAAGTCAATTCGGGTAGTGGTTATGCGTTTAATTAGTCAAAAAGTTATTGGTCAACTTGAAGTTCTTATATAATTCGTCAGAACGTCTGCGGTAATTACCTTTTTACTGTCTGCTCTTGCGCCGAAAAATTAGTCGACTATTACCATATCAATCTCCACTGACTTTAATTCCTTTCAAATAAATCTCATCAAAATTTGAACCAATATAAAGTTTCATAACTAAACTTAAGAGAATGATGGCCCATTAACTGGTTAATAAAACTACAATACTTAAATACTTCCAACATTTCGTGCCTGGTTACTGGAGTCCGGTGTTAACCCCTTGCGATCTCTGTACTCGCTACTCGTAGTACTTTGCATTTTATAAATTAGCTACCGTTCGTGAGTATGAACTTTCTCATATAATTAGAGAAAATTTAAGTGATTCGATTAATTTAAACTGCTGACATCTTGGCAAACACATCAAAAGGAGTAGAGAAGCCTTTTTCAAAACTCATATTGTGGTCTCAGCGCAAACTTGTGCGCCCGAGTATATATGTATAACTGTTTGTTGCTATTTTCGCGATATTTCATACACACATTCGCATATTTTTGCATATACTACGTATATAACTTTCGACAAAACCTCAACCGCAACTGTTGAGGGCGTGCAACTCTGGTTGACTACCTGTGTATTTGTACAGCTATTGTGACAGCCATAGCAATAGTACGCAGGAAATTTGTTGAGGTTTTTGCGTGTAGCGGATATACGTGTATGTAGATGTGTTACCCACCACATTTTCCCAAGGCGCCAAAAACATTCGCATTAATCAATATGCAGCTAAGTTGCACATTTACATGTTATAAGTCAAGTTTGTATGTTTGACTTCTGTAGGAGTTTGTGAGCATGCAACTACATACATACATATGTATGTGCGTTTATTGGAAATGCATAGTAACTATGCTACTAATTGTGGTGTTATTGCAAAATTTCTTGATGTTTGTTGTGCGCTTGTCTCTGTCAAAACCACAAAACGATATATTGCTTCTACATATGTATGTATATATGAATGTACAATGTATATGTGTAATTAGATAAAATGATGCGGTTGTTATTGTTGCCTGTTAGCTTTTGAAGAAAATTTAGTTTTAACTGTGTAATATTTTCTATTTTCACGTTTCATTTTAGTATTTTCCAACCTTCTATGAAATTAAAATTATTAATATTTGAAATTGCTCACAAATTGTGAATTCCTTAAAAATCTCTTAGCTTTTTAAATTTTAAATTCATAGTTAATTTTTTGGTGTTCGAAGCTAGTTGATATTTGTATAGATTTATTAAAAAATTTTCACTTTAAGGGCATTTTTCACTATTTTTGATGTAAATTTAAAATTTTAAAGGCATCCACAAATATATATATTGTAAGTAATAATAAAGAACAAAACTAAAAGCACTAAAAATCATCACTATAACCGTATGTTGGTTGCCAATTTATTCATTTGAAATGCGTTATTGGAAGGATTGAAGTTTTTGAATTGAACAAGCATTTGTGTTTAAATGAAGACACATATTTTGTTTTTGTAGGTTTTTTATTTTGACTTTGACTCTTAGTAAATCCTGTTCGCTGCCTGAGGAGTAAGTAAAACAAGCGAACATAAAAATGTTGCCCACAAATAGCCATGCAAGCTTGAACGAAATAACAATAATGATGACGTGGACGACGACATCGACTAGTTTTTATCGTCGGCATTATCAAGTATGTAACTATTTTTAATGCCGAACAATGAGGCAAACAATGGTAAAAAGAAACAAGAAATAACAAACTAAAAAGGATGTGAAAGACGGAAGTATTTGGAAGAAGAAGACCAACAAAGCAAAACTAGTGAAACACGTATGTATACCGAACCGTAGCGTACACAAATCTCTATGTTTGTGTCTATAATGAAAATATATACATATGTGTAAGCAATCCAAACTTTTGTGGTCAACTTTTCCTTTAAGAGCATACCCCCATCAATGAAAAGTGAAGAAAGCTTGGGTACATTTTATAAAACTTTATAAGTGTGTGTACGTGTATGTTAAATACCACAATTAAAGTGAGCCACCATTGTTGCTGCTGCTAATAATATCACCAATACATGCACTGCACCCTTCTCTCCTTCTCCTTAATTTCCTCTGCTTCTTCGGTACGGAATGGAAACTTTTATCGTCCACAAGTCAGGTTCAATGTGTTGAAATAATTGAGCAGCAGTCTACTGGTTGACAGTTTCCAATGTGCAATGAGACATGTGAATTGGACGAGCTCTCACATGAGCATGCACATACACAAATATATTTATAAGGATATATATATATAAATTCATATTTGGATATAGTCGTACATTGTTCGGTTACTCTCCCTAGCTCTTAGTTTGAGTAATGTGTTCATTCACCCTTTCAACTGTTGACTACCTATGCAGCTGGCTGACGCTTGATGACTGCCAGCTGCCAGTTGCCCTTCGAGCAAAAGTTTGCAATTAACAATTTTATTAAAAGCATTATGTGAATATGGCACGCCACAATGCCGTCGTTGCTGCTACAGTCCTCGACATCGCTCGCCAGCACTGTCGAAAGTCATTGACATTTGAGTGACAGCATATGACAGCCGAGAGAAGCAGAGAGCAGAGTTCGCGGCAGTTAAAAAAGGAAGGCCAAAGAGGAAAACAAAAAAGTTTTACTTACTTACTTACTTTACTGGCATAGACACCGCTTGCGCGATTATAGCCGATTTAACAACTTTGCGTCATTCTTTTCTTCTATTTGCTGTTTGGCGCCAATTACAAATACCAAGTACAGCCAGGTCCTTCTCTACCTGGTCTTTCCAACGGAGTGGAGGTCTTCCTCTGCTTCCACTGGCGGGTACTGCATTGAAAACTTGCAAAACTGGAGTATTCATTCCCATCAGTGCCACATGACCTAGCAAGCGTAGCCGCTGCTTTTGATTCGCTGAAGTATGTAAATGTCGCGTATAACTCGTACAGCTCACCGTTCCATCCAAATTTTAACATTCTCTATTCAGCTCTGCAGCTCTTATTATTCTCTCCAGCATTAAATTTAAAAAACTACACGACAACTGAAACCTCGTTTGGTACAATATGGCTCGGAGAGGTCCTACCCAATTCTCACTGTGCTTCTGGAGTTGTCTAACGCCAGCTTACACAGCCGTATAAGTTTTGCGGAGAAACCAAATTCAGACATAGTGGCGTAAAGGCAGCTTCTATTCGCACTGTCGACGAAGATCAACACCTCGATCTTCTTTTCACGGGTCTTTTTTAAGATTTGGCACATGATGAATATCTGGTCAATGCTTGACTTACTAGGTCTGAAACCATTCTGATAAGATCCAATCAGTTTATTGAAGGTGGGCTTCAGTCTTTCACACAATACGCTCGACAGGACCTTATGGGCGATATAAGGTGGCTTATCCTACGGTAATTGGCGTAGATTGTGGGATCTCTTTTTTTATGGATTGGGCAGAGCCCACATCAATTCCAATTGTTGGGCATGCTCTCGTCCGACTATATTCTGCAAACTAGCTGATGCATGTATTTGAATAGTTTGTCCGGTAACGGAACAACTTTTCCATCGTCGTCGATTGGAATTTCGGGTTCGCCATCTCCGGGTGTTTCATTTTGACTGCCATTGAGCAGGCTGGAGAAGTGCTACCTCGGTCCATAAGTCATCTTATCTTCTCATAGAATTTTCGAGAACAAAAAAAAAAAATGTTTAATATGCAAAAAAAAAAAAAACAGGAATTTTGCACACTCCTACCCCTTCGCTTCAACAAATATACAAATATTAAGAGAACAATATTCGTGTGCATGAAATATGCATTAATGCGGTTCGTGCGGTTTTCTAAGAGAGGGCTCTACTAGTAGTATTTCGAGTCGTGTTCATCTGTGGCTATATTAATTTCAATGGTACTGTCAGTTCGCGTCGTTTCCAGTAGATGTCATTTGTTTTAGGATGAACAATTTGTTTCATTCATTTGAAAATTTCGAAATTTGCACCAGATAAAGTGTTTTTGCGGGGAGTTCTTCTTCATTACTTTAACATGAAGAAAAGTGCTACCGAAAGCCATCGTATTTTACTTTAAGTTGACCATGCTGTAGCCGAACGAACGTGCCAAAAATGGTTTGCGCGGTTTAAAAGTGACAATTTCGACTTAGACGATGGACAGCCAAAAAAATTTCAATATGAAACATTGGAGACATTGCTTGGCGCAGATGCATGCCAGACGCAAGAAGAACTTGCAAAAGTATTAGGAGTTGATCAAGCAACCGTTTCCAGAAGATTAAAATCATTAGGATTCATCCAGAAGCTTGGGAATTGGGTGCCTTATGAATTAAAGCCAAGAGACGTCGAACGTCGATTTTGCATGTCGGAAATGTTGCTTCAACGCCATCAAAAGAAGTCATTTTTGCATCGGACTGTCACTGGTGATGAAAAATGGATTCATTATTATGGATATTCAAGAGATCGTATGTGAAGCCTGGCCAACTATCGACAGCCACGGCAAAGACGAATATCCATGGTGCCACGGTTATGCTATGTATTTGGTGGGACCACAAGGGTGTGCTCTGTTTATGAGCTATTGAAATCGGGTTAGACGATTAATGGAGATCTCTACCGAAAACAGTTGATTCGTCCACATGTTACAAGGCCAGTTAAAAACTATTTGGAAAACTGTGGGCGGGAAGTAATACCTCACCCGCCTTATAGCGCAGAGAGAATTAATGCATATACCCAATACAATAATACAATTTACAATAAGATGGGGCAGTCACGAGTAATATAAAAAAAAACAATACGATGAAGTTCTTAGACATTCTTGAATATTTTTTATTTACTTGTCTCTTGTGAATTTAATCTTATGAATCCACCTACATCTAAGTACGTTTTTTTGGTTCCAAGTTCTTGATTGTTTTTTTTTTTCCTTATACTCGTACTTACGTAATTTTCAATCAAATCATTGCGATGTGGCACAAAGTAGTTATGATCCTCCATGTCACGTCGTTTCTTCACACGTACAAAATGTTCCATCGGATTGAGATTTCGGCGAGCACATGCACTAGCCAAAAACTCTTCCACCGACATTGCGTCACGTAGATAGACTGTGGCGTAAGCGTTATCAGGCATGGCAACTTTGAAGGTTTTTTCCGGTTCGTCACGTGAATTCATCTAAAAAAAAGGGGAGAGAAATTAATTATGAAAAATATTGACATTTCCTGGGGCAGAGGGGGGAAGGGGGGAAGCTGAAGTACAATTCTGCAGATAAATACGTATGTATGTATAAATAGATTTTTAAATCTTTTTTGTTCATGAATATTTTCATTGTTGTTAAGTTGTTTTTGCGAAATAGGAACAATAAGTCCCGTGCTCAATTGTATCCTGCAAGCATATTGCAGACTCGTTTAATACCAATATAAATAAGGTAAGGTTTGTATTTCGGTAAATGTCATTCATAAAAAAGGAATTAAAGCAATGAAAGTATTTTTTTGTGAGCTACAATATTTGCATTGTATCACACATGAGTGTACAGTTCCTTTAGGGCAGCAGGTAGCCAAGAACAAAGCGTGGCTTGCGTTCGTGCTACATTTAGCTTCTGCTGGATTGTAGCGCTCAATTTATTTGCCTGAACTGTAGGCTGTAAGCACGTGAGCAGGGGAAATGTTTACATATTCGTTGTATATATACACATGCAAATACCCCGAAGGGTAAACTTGATGGCTGGTATACCATTACGATATATTGGCCAGTGAAAATATAGGTGAAGTTTCAAGAAATACGATAATTATTTGAAACAGAAATATGAAATAAAATTGTTGGTTGGCTCAAAAAGCAGTTTTAAGATTTCAGTGGCTTTGAAAAAAATACTAAATACAACTAAAATTAACTTCAGTTGAAAATATTAAGTAAGATTCTAAACACCGCAGTTTTAAGATTTCGTGAAATCTTAGGAATGCAACTTTCTTCATTTTCAAGAATCTGTGAACACTGAAGATGTCTTTGTTTATCTTTTACTACTTGTTAAAACTATTAATACCATATTTTTCTTGACCCACTTTATTTGCGTAATAAGTTGAGAACATCAGCTTATAGAACTCTAATTTCTTATTGGGTACTTCAAATATTTGTATCAATCTACCTACCGGATTGGCGATAAGTTAACGTTGTCAATTGAGTAAATAAATGTGATATATTTATTCTAGGTACATATTTACTTGCATGTTTTTTCATACATACAGTGATTTACGAAATCAATAATATAAGCGTTGTGAACGGCAACAAAGTAAAAAAGATGAAAAACTGCAATGAATCCAAGTTCCTAAAAATATTTTATGAATATATATTACAAGTGCTCCAAATATAGTTAATGTGCCAAAAAATATATTCATTGATATTTTCCAAGCAGCCCTGCAACTCACTTTCCGCATGGCCGGCAGCTCTGCTTGTGAAGTAATGAAAATTGCGTACACATTTTTTGTAAATCAATTAAAATAACCAAACAAGTGAACAAAAACACTTAACAAACATTTTAAAAGCACACAGCACAATATGTATAACGGTACACAGCATGAAATGTGAATTACTGTTTAATTAAATATTTATTGTAGATGTTAAAGTTGTATTTTATGCAACAACCAAAGTGCTAAATAAACAGTGAACGAAGGAAGGCGAGGAGAGGAGCGGCTATTTATTGAGTTGCGAAAACTTTGTATTGGTTTTGCTTCAAATTTTGTAGCAATTAAACAGGTGATGATTAACTTGTTTCGAGTTTTGAGCAACATTAAACTATGAAATGGATAAATTTAATAAAATTTCATTACATTATTTATTATGTTTTGTTTTGCTGCCGCAGTAGCCGAGTGGTTAGCATTGCATGGTAACATTTCTTATTATCACTTATTAGGGGAATAAAATATCCTAAATTAATCGGGAAGGTCAGGGTGTCAGTTGAACATATATACAAAATTATAAAAAATTAATTCTTGTAAATGCGGTTGCCCCTCAACAGGTAATTTCAAGCTTTCGGAATGGTTTTCTGTTATGTTCCTCATAAAAATCTATGGGAAAACATCACAACACACACCAAAAATTGGAGAAGGAGCTCGGCCGAAATACGATTCAGCGCTTATCAAAGCGTCATTATATATATATATATATATTTATGTTGAACTTGAATGTTTAATTACATTTGAAGAAAGGTTCAAGGTATCCCTAATTAAAAGGCATTTGAGGTGGGCTCTTCATTGACCAGATTGACCTAACTAAATAAGCTATCATTTTTTTACTTAAATTTTTGCTAATATAAGGTATATATGTATTTACACATTAAACGCACATTAAATAAAAATATTAATTTCCAAATTCACAGCATATACAACAAATTATTATTATGTACATATGTATATATGTATTTATCTATGATGTAACAGTGATTTTCATTATGCAATCGCTTGCACACTCATATCAATTAACAAATGAAGAACCAAAACCGAAACTTGCATATAATCAAATAAATCCATTAACAGATTACAGCCTCAATTATATTCTTCTTTTATTTAATTTCTTCATATTAACCAATTATTTTTTTTTACTAGTATTTCAAATATCATATTATTAATTATTACTATTCATTGGAAGCCAAACAATATAACAGTATTTCACGTATTTGGTTTTCGTAAAAAAAAAAAAATTTGGAAGGATAGTGAATACATATATCGCATAACAATATCCATGTATGCTCTCTGGCCGAGATTTTCCTCTGACTTGGGGTGAAAGTTGTACAGGTCTTGCCATAAAGGTGTGTGAGACCACAGTTGATACATTTAAAGAAGGCCAGTGATTTTCGTAGCCAAAAAATCAGACAGACATTTCCTAAAGAAAACAAGCACTCTTGAAACTTTCAGATGTTAGTCTGGCCTGGTTTCGAACTCATGAGCTCTCGACTCATAATACGCACTGTGGCCCATTCTGCTGCGACTGTCAAAAATGTTAAATTGTATTCATGTATAATTGTGTATTTGATCGCGTTGTTAATAGTTTTTTAAAATTATTTTTATTTTGGAAGCTCATTGTGGAGAAATATTTTTTATTTAAAGGAAATTAGGCTTAAAACGCCTGTGCATATTTTAAATATTAAATACATTTTCAATAGAAATTGATTACTGAATGCATTAATTTGTCTAAAAGACACATACGCCTAGACAACCGAAAATTTTTTAATTAAATACAAAACGTGATTTTTTAATAGCAAAGAGGCAAGATAAATTAAAGGGGTTCTAATTATGTGATAATATTTAAAAGGAAACGTCTTAAGTTAAATGGAGCATAAAGAATTGGAGTTCTAACACTCGAAAAGAACATCTTCTATGCTGTTCTGCATTCAGCTGATACCATTTTAGCTTGCTTATGGATATGACTTCTCATGGGCAGAATTCCCGTCAATATACCCACAAGAATACTAATTTCACGATTGTTTAAATTTAATAGATAACGTTGAAATCACTCAAAGGTCTGTTAATTATCTCTTTGCAGGTTCGTAGGCATTTTAACTTTTTGATGGTGCACCTTTTGTAGATAATTGCCGCTTGACTGTCTACAAAAAACCTGATAGATCTTCTTGATTAAGCGGTTGTCCTTTTGGCTGCTTGGATGACAGAGTTGTATTCATCATGGATATGAATATCTTGATTGCTTCCGTTGGTCGCACCTTCGTTCAATCTTCCTATAGGCTTTCCACACCGGTAAACGGTTTCAGTTTCTCGGTCGCATTTTACGTTTAGCCAGAGTTCCGATATAACATTCAGAAAGCTGTCATGCCCTTCGCACTGGTGAACTGGACTCCATTTTCAAGAGCATTTAAGATAATAGTCGTTGGTGCTGCTTAAACATCACTTGTATATTATTTAACCTAATGTCAAGGAGAATTCTACGGCATTTGTTGAAAAAGTCGTTAAGGCACCTGCTACACCAAGTAGACAGATATGTTGTATCTGTTCCGTAGGTTTAATACGTCACGTCTTCTTCATTATCGCCTTCCACACTATTATGTGTTGGTATGTCTAAAGACACATGTGTTTAAACGAATGTGAGGTTGTTGGTGCAATAGCTTTTCGTTAGGCACTCCAAACTGAAATCGCTTTATTGGCCCTGCTATCAACATGTTCCCCCAGCTGAGTTTTTTTTAACAAGGATCACATTGAGATACTTAACAGAGTTGGACTGAATTGATTGACTTTGATTTAATTCATCTAATATTAATCATAATAATATAAATATTATTAACTCAATAACATCAGATTTGAAAATACAACAGTATCCACATTAAGACCATTGATACACACATACATACATGTACTTCCTATTATTTAATGAAATATATGCGTACATATATGTATAAACAAATATTTATCTTCAAGTATATATCTAAGGCGTTAAAGCATTTACACCATACAGGTGCTATATAATTAATCTTAATAACATAATACCGCAATCTAAAAGCCAAAAGTGAAGCACAAACACTCAGAGTCATGTTTGGCTTTTGTTTATAAAATATTATTCGGGCGTGGGCTGAAATATATGAATAAGCAAGAATGTGTACTTATTTTTTGGGTTGTGATGTACATAAGGAGCTGTTGGATACACACACTTGACCTTTAATTAATTTTTTTGATAATGTTTTGGCTTACCAGTGCTAAATTTTCCTTCCGCAAAGCTCCTCTGCATTTATATTTTTTTCATCCATTCATGTTCACGTTATACTTTTCAAAGGCTTCTATGGTTTATTTTCATATGCAATCATATTTCATTCATTCTTATCGCCCTGCACAAACAGTCAATGACCCCCTGTGTATTTCGTACGCATTCTACTACTGAGTAATTGGCGTTTTGGTGCTGTCAGTGTCTACCTCACGACATTTATTTGTTGTTGTTGCTGAAAAATTTTGTTTGTTTTTCGGTTGATCATGAAGGAGTAGCAAATTACTGTAAATGCTGGACTACAAGCGACAACATATGTATGTATTCGCCTACATACATAAATTTGAGTAAATATGTGCAAATGCATATATTGACGCCCATTAAAGCACATATTTCGTTGGAAGTCGTTTTTTATGAAATTTTGAATGCACAAATGAACGGACAATTTTCAGTTCAACACTGTCCTGCCCACGGGC